CTCTAATAATATTTATCTCAAGATATGATTTCTTGATTCTTGGTTTAGCGGGTCTCTTGGTTTTGTTGTCCAATTACTGACAGAAATAGTGATTTCAGATTATGGGAAGACAGAAATGTACAAAGCAATGTGGTTTCTGAGAAGCAACCAGTTATTCGGAGAAATTAAAGAAGGATTTATTTTTTTTATTTTTATTTTTTTGGTCAGCGAGAGAAGAATTAAAATGGAAGAAAGAAAGAAAGAATATTCACCTTGGTGAAACAAGTAGCTCAAGGTAATCAGAATCCGAAAGGATTGGGATGACTTGCGTCGTGTATATATATATGTACATATATACACAAACTTTGATTTAGGGTTTCTTTATTCGTAAAGCGGTGGTGGTCTCCAACGGTCACAAAAAAATTTAAACATCAAACAATAAATAAATAGACTGATTTTTACTTTTATTTTCTTCAATTTGTTGAAGGTTGGAGTCGAAAAAGTATAAACGACTTTGAAGTGGATTAATTAATACGAGTAGGAGCTGAGGCTGGATTTTATTTTATATTTTTTACATTGAAATCCAAAAATAATGTTTGTGAAAACAAGAAAGCAAGTTCATTTCATGGGAGAAGATGTATGAATGATTTAAGTCTCATATTAGCAAAAGTGCTTCTAGGTTTTTTATTGATAAGAAAAGATAAGGGTACAGGTAAAAAAAAAACTTTTAGATCATACTTATGTTTCCAATTTAATCCAATATATGTCCTTTCTATTGTTTTTTAGACAAAAAACTTGATAAGATGATTATATTATTTGGTTAATATAGATAAAAGTAATAGACTTGTATTAAGATAAAAACAAAAAACAAAAACTTAATTAAAAAATATGTTTTTTTTTTTTTAATAATTCAATCTAGAAGGAGAGTATCTCAAAAAGGGATTTCAAAATGACAGGTATAAGTTCAAATCTATCAAAAACGGTATTCAAAGTTACCTATGTACAAAATTTAATCAAATCAAGCGAGATTGTCCTAAAAAAAATAAATAAATAAATCTTGTGATGGTTGAAATTCTTTTATCGTGGTAGAAGACTATAAAAATGTCCTCAAAGTTTTAAAGGTATTGATACATTTTTGCATGATGGTTGCATATTACTTATTTGGTTCTCCATATGTATTAAATGTGTGTTCTAGAAAATAATATTCGATGAGTTCCAAGAAAGAAAGATTGGCACTATGTTTTTGCTTGTGTGTCACCTTGTTATGTAATAGGTCTTAGAATGATAAAAATTAAAGTATTTGATGGAGTGCTTCGTATTATAGGTGGTGTGGCATATGTTCCAAAAATGCACAAGATTCGATATCATTGAGCTAGTTAGACTCCAAATGATCTAGTTATTTCACTATAAGTAGAGTCTTAAATGTCACACATATTGGTACAATACTAATAAAAGAGAAAAGTATGATGGTTTATTTCGTCCGATTGCAAAAACAATGACTTTGAAAAGTGGCTAAGAATGAAGTGCAAACGATGGTAACTAGTTGAAAAGAGTCTTTTTAATTAGTGATTGAAAAAGAAATAAGAATTATGCATTATCGGATTTTAGACGAGTGTTAAAGGAAAGATTATATTGAGAGAGAATGGATTGAGGACCTCTCCGAAATTAACAAGTAAAATTGACACATGACAACTATATATGGGTATTGGTTGTGTTTTTAATTAAATTAGGTAGAATGTAGAATTGTTTGTTGATTTAATTCATGTGTAACAAATAAGTTTTAAGGTTAATAATTATTTGTATTTTTTTGTTTGTGATATTTGCAAGCTAGTAAAGCCAACAAACTTTAAGAGGGCAAGAATATTCATCAAAGTGGAGATTGTTAGGCTTATAGCTCATATTCCTTAAAGTAATGATCAAGTAAATATATTGGAGAAATGATGAAGGATTCTTTGTCCACAAAAGATTTTTTGTTCACCAAGGATTTTTATGTTATAAATAAGTGAATAAATATGTGATTTTAGAGTGTCCAAAACACAAGAGTTAAGTTTTTTTTTAATGCGAGAGTAGATATATAATGCTTTTGGATTGAGTTTTGAATATAAAAATCACAATCATATTTTTATATTAATTTTTTTTATAAAAAATTACTCTTGTTTTTATGGAATAGATAAAATTTTACTAAATCACGTTAAATTTTATTTGTTTATTTTTTATTTATTTTTATTTATCTCTTTTATTTTTTTTTTAATTTTATTGAAATGGGTTGTTTATAATGATGTGCTGAAAATCGAGTCTTTAATTTATATATATATATATATATATATATATATATATATAATAACATTTGGTGGGGAGCACGTGGGGCATGGCTTTGTGAAAGCTGAATGGTTGTGTTGTTAAATAGTCTTGGTGGCGGTGTGTTATACGTAGTAGCAATGAAATTGGAGGTTTAGTAGCTTCACATTTGATTGATGTTGCTTGTCATTGCAATGTCCTAGGAGGTTGTTTATATTTTGAGTTTGTTTTAGCAATTTGTGGTAAGGTACATTGGTTTGTCATATTTGCATTATTAAGATGAGGGTGCATGGCTTTGTGAAAGCTGAATGGTTGTGTTGTTAAATAGTCTTGGTGGCGGTGTGTTATACGTAGTAGCAATGAAATTGGAGGTTTAGTAGCTTCACATTTGATTGATGCTGCTTGTCATTGCAATGTCCTAGGAGGTTGTTTATATTTTGAGTTTGTTTTAGCAATTTGTGGTAAGGTACATTGGTTATATATATATATATAGTTTTTTAAAAAAAAATTGTTACACCTAAGGTTTTTAGTACGATTAATCTATTAGAATTTGAATCCATGATATTTTGTTACAAGAAACCACTATTATTATGTTATAAGCTCTTTGATGATTGTGATGAGTTTTGATGGTGGGTATTTTGGGATTAGGCGGGGATGATGTTATAGTGACGGAGGTGGAGTTAATAACTGGCAGGATTTGAAGGCGAGGTGTGTGGGTTGGTTGATGTGTATGCGAGGTGATGCAGGTGTTGGAGCTTTTGAGTTACCTGGATGTTGTCGTGGCAGCCTTGGTTCTTGTTAGCTAATTAGTTGAAAAGGACAAGTTAGGAATTGGCAATTCAATCCGCTCAAGTCTCAATTAACAATGCTCAATAATGCAACTTAAGTGACGATGATAATAATGCAATACCAAATTAGGAGCTTACCACCTCAATGTCGAATTATTGTACAATCCCAAATTCAATCATAATTCAAAAGAATTATTGTCTCTCTCTTCCTTTCTAGTCAGTGTACAAGTGATTGAGTTGAGTGATTAAGATCCCTAGTCCACGAAGACACAAACCTCTAAATATATCATTTCAGTCCTAATTAACACCTAACCCTTTGTTTTCAATTATATACCATGCAATGACAAGTGGTCATAACTTTTAAAATATCTTACATTAAACATAATTAAAATTGAGTAAATTTAAAAAAATTAAAATGTGTTTTTATTTATAAATATACTTAATTAGTAAAATTGTTAAAAGTATCTGAATTAGAATAAATTTATTAACGAGTTGTTAATATATTCACAACATCAATTATCACAATCGTAATTTTACTATCAAGATGAGTCGTAATCCATAATTATGATTTCGATCATTTTTTTCAACTATGATTGTTATTTAAAACTATAATCTCGTATACAAAGGCACAAACCACTAGATATATCGTTTCAGTCCTAATTAACACCTAACCCATTGTTTTCAATTATATACCATGCAGTCGACAAGTGGTCATAACGTGTAGAGTTTTGATGTCATCTGTCTACTTTTGCTCAGGTTAGGCACGATTTACAGCTTTATGGTTTGGCCTATAGAGGCTACGAGGATTTGATCACCATACTGCGATGGTTTGAAATCAGGGGCTGTTTAGGAAGACCATTTTTTCGCTTGTGAACAGCCATAAGGAAAATGCTGACTGCACCGCAGTTCTAGCTTCTGCCTCTACCCAGTTGGCTCGTTATTTTAGTCGAGGTTCAAGCAATCAGCAAAATCACTAACTTGGGACTTGAAAGATTCCAGTCAGCGATAGCCAACTTGGGCTAGTCCAGCCCTTCAAAAAAATTCTGTGGAAAGCTAACCATGCCTAACTAGCGTTTCTTAATTTTGTGGCACCTAGGAGATAGCTTTCCGTGAGAAATAAATGCTCTCCTTTTGACCCATATGCTATAGCATTCACATTTCACCATTTGTTTGCTAGTAGGAGAATGATAAGACTTCAAAACGTAGGGATTCAACGTCCTGAGTTACAGTACACCGACTTGTAGGATCCGCCAGTCTTCTGGCTCGACATGGCATCCAGTCCCTTCTGTTTGGGGATTGCAAGTTGGTACCTGAAAGTGCCAACTTAATTGATATAGTAAACTTGTACCTAACTTCTGCAGTACAATTTGATTAAACAGGATACGTTCCATTTTCACGTTAAAATGTCATTTTCTCATCAGAAATTATCAAAAAGTGGAAATGATGAACAGAGTTGTTTCGCCACTGCATTAAAAGTTCTGCACAAATACGGAAGATGCACATGTACAAACGAAGTCAAAACAATCCTTACAATTGCAAGATGCTGCTCAATGATCTAACCAAACATTATATACAACTCAGCAAAAGTTCATGCATCTACAAAATCTATCATTGTATCATTTTGGATTAGAGGTCAGTAGTTAGACAAGAACACTGACTATGATAACACCCCTCCCCCACCTGCCAAAAGTAATTAACAGCTACTCCTGGGTTTAACTCTAGCATCGCCCTAATCTCATTCCAAATCAACGGCACCCAAGAAGTTAATGTTAATGCCCCACCACCCAATTCAGAATAGGAGCTCTGACAAATAATCAAAAACTTATGAGGTGATTGGCATATTTCTATGTAAAGTTCACGTATTTAGGAATTGTTCAGAAAAATGCTGTGCCCAGATACTAGTTATATTCTGATTAGACTGGTTGACGATGTTGATCATTCATTCTTAGTTTGGTTGACGGAGAAACTCTCTTCAGGCTGCTTCTGCCAAAAATAATTGGTAGCTTCGATCCACCCAGGATGGACCAAGAATTTGTTATGCTTCAAGGCCCAACGTGACTTCTCAGTCCCAGCATCTTTTGAGACCACGTGAGTTACTGACGTGTCAAGTTCTGTAGAGCATGTGGCTCCCAACTGCTCAGCCATCCTCCAAAGATGATGATTATCAGCCGGGAATTGGGTAGGGAACACTCTGCTGAAGACAATTTTACATCCCTCCAGGACATCCTTACGAACTGTTTTGAGTACCTGCACGGAAAGAGCGAAAATATGATATTGATGTTGCATAAACCTGATACCAAAATTTAGCATACAATTGATGTTGGAGTCCATGTCAAAAAGAAAAAATAATTGAGTTTAAAATATATGAGTAGCTGGAAACACAAAATAATTCTAGCGCAAGGATCTAAGCCAAAAATATAAACTGACAATCACATGCAAACAACAAATACAAAAATCGCAAAAGCATATGGCTTATCAATGGCATAGATCTAAAGGATAGATCTACAATCGATCTACCAGCGAAATAGAAGATGAAAAGAAAGGAATGGTGACATTCATTAAATGGCCGACAAAACTCAATTTAGCAATTGACGAGAACCAATTAATTAGCAGCACATAATCTTATATAGCAAAAGTTGTCGTCATAAATCCTTAAGATATCCATTACATGAGCATGTACTCCACAGTTGATGCAGATATGTGGCAAGCCACGATAACAAAGAAAATATGAGCTCAAAAGACCAATTTCAGTAGCCCATTTTACCTGTCTCACATCTCTGCCTTCCAGATTTTCTTCTGATTCCTGCAACAAGGTTCCCTATCGATAACACTTTGAAAACAAACAAACAACAATAACTTTATCAACAAAAACAAGGGACAAGAGGTTGTACCTCAAAGAAGATATGGTGAATTTTCCGTAGAACCTTAAGAATGGATGCGAGTGCTCCTTCTGACTCATTCTCATCACTCTTCAGCTCTGAAAGAGATTTACAATTAAATCCAAATTGGTGACAACTTGAAGCAAAGAAATGATATCTTTCCATCAGTATCAAGTTGTCTTTATGCTTCATCCAGGCCTAAATCAATTAAAACAAAGCATTTTCAGTAACATACCGCTAAAATTTAAAAGCCAGATCTTCAATTTTATAAATTAAAAAGGCAAATCTTCAATTAAATTAGCCACATGTACTCACGTTTTCTGTATCATCAAGGATTAGAACGGCACTTTCTTGCCCCAAGACCACATCAAGACCTTTTTGATGTCTTTGGGTTCCATCATCACGTGAAATAACTTTAGCGTTGAAATATTCTCTTCCAGGATCAAGCAGTTTGGCCATTTCCAATGCATAGGCCCGATCACCCATAGTGTATATGTACATCTCAAACATCTGACTAGCTTCTTTGAGAAACGTGCGTACAAAGGGCCTCAACTTGGTCATCATGTGCATGAAGCTCAACATAAAGAGACTGCCTTTTGAGACATCTATTCATTTGGCATGAATACAAATTTTAGTAAAATGCACTGTCTGTCAAAAAAGGAAAGCATATTCAACCAAAATTTGTCTAGAATGGGATGACCAAGTTACAAGCGCAATATATGAAAACAGAGTTTAGTAACACACAATTGTAAAAGTAATAAAAACTAAATGGCTAAAAACAAAGCTTTGGAACCTATAATTATTTTGCAAGTACAACATGAAAACGAAAGTACAAATTTTAAGTGGCACTGTCTCATTATCTATTTTACTTGTCGTAAAGGATTGGCAACAGCATATCTACAAATAATATCCCCAACAACAGAACTCAACTCTCAAAGGGAGACCGTTTTTCATGCTAAAATTAAATTAAATATTATAGCTATAAAGTCTTCTCTCAGGCACAATTTTAGCCATTAGGAGAATTTCAAAGCTTGTTGACAGACACAATCAAAGGCATAACCAACTCTGATAAAATCTATTCAAAATTTACAAAGTCAAGGGGAAAAGATAAAAATAAATTACAAAATTGCTTGACATAAACCATTGTGGCCCATGGATATAAATTTCTTGACATATGGTCTTAGTTGTCATTGGCCCATCATTTAAGGCCTTTGGATTGGTTTAGCTAGTCAAAGTTTCCATCTGACCACAATTTTGGGTGATACAATTAGTAGCCAATGAACAACAAACATTACCTTTCAATTGAATAAAGAGTAAAGGAAAAAAGCTTTAAGCATCTTGTGCCTCTTTTCTTTTTCTTCTTCTTTTTCATTTTTTTCATTTTTTTTTTTTTTTGGGGACATGTGAAATGGTTGAACTTTTTAGTAACTTGATAAGTCCTTAATCATGAAGGTATGATGAATAGCATAGATCACTGTCTTCGAGACCTTTCATCCCCTTGACTTGCATTAGAAGGGCACCTTCATCTAAACGCCCTTTATATCAGATTATCTTGTATATACCCCAAAGAAAATTACCTTCTACACCAAACTTCTCCAACTTTCTTAAATCTTTTTTCGTATTTGATAAAAGAAATTTTTTTATTAGGAGATCAATAGACAAACACAAGGCATCATAACTCTACAGATGACATGAAGCATCTGTTAGAGAAACTACACTAGAAATCCCTGCAGTTTTGCTCCTTAGGGAGGCTAAATAACAATTCTATCTTACAAACAGATTTCCCCGTAGTAGAGAAATATGGAAAAACTCCAATGTTCCCTCCATCCAAAGACTACATACTCCCATACAAATTGCACAAGTCCACAGATGTTTATGGTCCCTCCCTAACCAAAACCCTAGTGATATATCAATAGCATGTTCTCTGTTTTCCATAGACTACCAAAAGCTCATCCTAAACTACAAACAACATACTCCACATATCACAGCTTATTGGACAACACAAAAGGCAACAATTCAGTGTCTCCCTGCTAACATGTCCTAGTCTTGATTCTTTACACTGATGTAATCTTCAAAGGAGCCATAAACATTAGAATTCCTAAGACTTGTTGCTACACAAGAAGCAAAGGGATAATCAATAATCACGTAACAGACAATACCTTGCAGTGAATCCGTTTGACTTTTTAGATATTCCTCATCTGGGGTCATATGCATAAGCTGTGTAGAATTAAGCAGTGTGTGATCTAGATCAAGAATCAAGTAGAGTTTCTTATGACATAACAAATTCTTTATATCAGTGTTGCGCAATCGAACAATTTCATCATTACCCAGCCTCAATCCCTGCAAGAGCCGTCTTTCATCAACAATTGTAATCCCAATGAGAAAGTAATACAGGAAATCTCCAGAAAAAAAAGGCAGTTATAATATTAAGTAATTTCTCCCCCAGACACGCCAAGGATGGATATTATTTAAAGAAAAAGAATTTGAAGATTCTAGATGTTGCTTCTAGTACTTCAAGTAATGTGTACCTTGTGTATATACCCAAATGTCACACCAGATTCTTCATCCAGCATTTTTCCACAGACAATGCACATAGTTCCAAATGATCCAGGATGTGTGCATATTTCCTTGCTGGATGATGCCTCTGCATGCAATATGTTAAACTTATGATGCCTTTTTGTGATAATAGGCTAAAAACAATAAAATGGCTCTATAATGAAGTTGAATCAAAAAGTGAAAACAGATATTTTTGCCAAATTTTTGCAGCTTACAATTTGAGCTTGAAGAACTAAAAACAAGACCAAAGCAAACAAGCAGCGTGCACAGACAACAAAGAAAATAAGAGATGAGAAAATGCTTGCAAACATATGGATATGGAATCATTATTATCAGCAATTTTATACAAAAAATATAAGCTATCTGGATTTCCATACAAGTAATGAAACTAATTTAAAATTTGAAACCACAGCAATGCAGACTTCCTTCTCTTATAGATATGCAAACAAGTGTCTGTGTGAGCAGAAACAAACATGTCCTATTCCTATTCGTACTTCCGAGTGCATTTCATTGTATTTATGTAACAATAAGAACAATTCTCTTGAGAAATATTTAAGCAAACTTTGATAGTTAAATTAAAATTCTCCAGCAGAAAATTAATTAGGATATTAAATTTCAGTTCCCTGTAAAAATTAAACCGATCATCACTAGAAAAGCTGAAAAACAGCAAGACAAAGTTGTTGAATCATAGTGAAAACTCTGCTAATCTCCAAACGATTCCAAACCTTTTTTGGGATTTCACTAAAATAAGCACATTGGTTAAGAAATCACATGCTGAAAAGAAACTTTTTCTCTAATTAATTGGTCTTCAGCTAAATTTACCGAGAATCCCCATTCCAAAAGACTAATGCACAATCAAAATCCAACCATAAAATTTTACTTGAGTTCTGCTCTAGAGAAGCAATAGAAGTAGCCCCCCTGTCATCCTCCACGATTTCCGCAGTCTCCACCTTAGACCTTTTTACCCTGCATATAAATTAATAAAATCAATTAATTAGGAGTAAACCCTAACCCCTAAAAAACAGCGCACAAAAACTGCAGAACAAAGCACAAAAGAGTTTTTTCCTTTCTAAAACCCTAACTAAACCCTAAAAACTCCAAAATGACAACAACGCAAATTAAAAAATCATCGAACTTTTTTAACCATCAACCTTACCTCTTGTTTTCAAGCTCAGAGTCATCATCCTCGGCTTCTTCTTCATCCGGCGATGAAGAGGCAACAGAATCCGAATGGTGCTCATTCCCAGCTTTCTCGGCATTAGATGATGAGCCAGAGGATTTGGAATCAAGCTCCACGTCAAGAAAAGCAGCGAAATCTTCACTGCTAGATGAGTGAACAGGAGAATCGGTAACCATACTCATCTGTAAATAAATAAATGCAATTAATATTAGCAAAAAAAAAAATGCAGTTCAAATAAGAACTAAAAGAGTGAGAAAAAATCACAAGCAAAAATTGATTAAAATAATAATGAGTTAAAGTTATGAAAATGTGGATTTTACACTAATTTGAGAGTATAAATCGTATTTACCTCTTGATTTGTTTGTTCGAGGAGAGGGAGAAAGAGCGAAGACGTTAGGGATTCATACTGTTTTTTGAGTTATGCTTCTGCTGGACGAGAAGAAGAGACGAAAAGTGAAGGGAAGAATTTTTATATTGACTGATTATGATTAGTTTTAGAGTGATTATAAGGTACTATTGGGCCAATAGAATTGGCGGCCCACCGGCCTGCTTATGTAAGGCTAACATTAATAGAACCAACTACAAGGCCCAATAGTATTGGCGGCCCATCGTATAGCTATGATTTTAAATTACACTAACGTTTTTCATTTTAATTTAAAAGCTTATAAATGTTTAACCGTTGTTTTCATTTATATTGTTGCGCACTTGTGGTTATAAGAGGAGAAAAAAGAAGAAGAAGAAGAAGAAAGAGAACAAATTAAACATATGATATAAGGGTTGAAAGCCATGATTTTGACGTAACTTTAAATTTTGACAAAATAGAGAATTTCAAAACAATATGGCTAGGTTTCTATCATGCATGGCATTGGCAAGGTGTGAAAGTTTTGGATTAATTCACCATAGGCCACATGTCTTCGTTATTATATTCAACAAAAATATTTTATGATTTAAAACTTTGACCATGCGTGTGACTGCATATTTCACGTAGGATCGCTACATAAAACATAAAATATATAGTAATTGGTGAGGTTTTAAGATATAATTTTATTTTATTTATTAAAATATTATGTCAAGTAAAAAAGAGTCTACACTATAAAATTTTAATTTTAATTAGAAAGAAGTATGGAGGTAAAATATTTGAATTCAATACAGCTTGGTGAATAAAACTTCGATGCTATGTGAAACAACATTTAAATCTGACATTTTTTTTCTTTTTTTCTTTTTAATTTTACATGAGGCTATGGTTTTATTATAATATTTTCAACAATTTTTTAACATTTCACAACCCTATTGCAATAATTACTCACTTGCAAAACAACATAGAATGTACTCATATAATTTTTTAGAAGAAATGGTTCATTCTTATATAATGGAATAAGTGTCTAATTTACTTTTGTATTTTAAATGATTTATCCTATATTTGGTCCCTATACAGTTGGAATTTTTTTTAATTGAAATTCTTATAATTTTTCAGCTTAATTAAAACCCTTTACTCTTAAAAATTTATTAATTCAGATTCTCTCGTTAATTGTTTATCCGACGTGACACGTTAAAATTAACGATAATCAATCACGAATTGACACGTGGTATAGTAAATCCCAAGTATCACAATATTCCATTAAAAAAAAAATTAAAGATTTTTATTATTAAACTATCTATTACTATATAAAAATGAATGAAAAAGACAAAACTACCCCGACCCCTATTATAATTGTCTAACTCATTCTCTCCCATTATGTCAAAACCAATTCTCCCATTCTCTCTCCCCGCAAAATCAAGTTTTTCATAAGACATTCCATCAATTATCCATAAACCTCGTAAAATCAAGTTTTTTCTTGAGACACTTCATCAATTATACATAAATAAGTTTGAAACTTGAAAGTCTACTTCAAACTTATTTATCATTCCGAATCCTTTTCGAGCCAACAAAAATAAGGATCCAAGTTTCATACCTCTTGTAAATGAAGCATTTTGCATAAATAAAATTCAGTTTCTTTAAAATATACGTCCCTTGCCGGGAGAAACAAGTAGTATTATAATGTCAAAAATAAAACATTTGAAGTATCAAAATCATAACATTAACATAAGTTAGAATTAATAATCTTAGGATGAAACAATATTGCCTTGGGATATGAAACAAAAGTTTAAGGTTCAATCTTAACTATTTACACAACAAATGATCTCCAATATGAGGATTTAGGACTACATTTTACTATTACATCTAGCCATCTAAGAGACTAAAATTGATCGGGATCTATGATTTAACAGTCTTTTTTCCTAATTACCGACACTAATCAATTTCCCATCTCTACATTGTATACCCAAAAAATCCAACAACAACATAACTTGTTGCCATTGTTGTTGCGAGTAGTAGTAGACGTTGCAAACGAAAAGCTCATTTGTCTTCCTCATCTATAAAGTGAGTGATTGTAATCTACCCATTTTTACAAGATCGGACATAGTTTCATAAGCTTCATGGACTTTTATGAACGCAAAAGTTGTGTCCTCCATGGACTTTTATGAACTCAAAAGTTATGTCTACCCATTTTTGCAAGATTAGACATAGTTTTGTAAGCTTCATGGACTTTTATGAACTCAAAAGTTGTGTCCTCCCTTTGGCCATTAGTTGCAACTTTGGTTTAACTTCCTCTTTGGATCTTTAATGCAAGAAAAATAACCGAGACTAATTCAACAAGTCCATTAAAATAAAATCAAGTTTTTCTTGGATCCACTCATCAAAATTCTAAATTGGGTTTAGGTTGGGTTTCCATGGATAGATCATATTAAGATCCCTAATTTCTATTTGAGATTTTAGGGATTTGAGGCATTTAGAGTTTATTTAGAGAGAGAGACAACGGTTTTGAAAATGTAAAAGAATAATTATGAAGAAGAAAAAGAAAAAAGAGAGGAAGCTTATGGTTTCAATGATAGAAGAAGCGAAGCGAGGGATTGGAAAGTTTAGGAAACTTAGGATTTCAATCAAGAAAGAAGAAGAAGAAGTAGCAAGGAAGCTTAGGGTTTCAATCGAAGAAGAAGAAAAAAGCGAAGTCAAGGAACTGGAACTTTTAGGATTCGAAATAGAAGAAGCTTAAGGAATGCAACAGATTTGGTCTCTATGTAAAAAGAGATAATGAGGAGAGAGCGATGGATTTTAAAATAATAAGACAAGAGCAAATTTATCTTTATGATTTATTTTCTTAATTCTAAAGATTAGTTTATTATTAAACATATATATATATATATATTTTTTAATTTTAGATGGAAAAATTGTTATTTGAGACCCACAACGTCGCATGTCAATCGAGTGATTGGTGGTTGTTAATTGTAATGTGTCATATTGGATGAATAGTTGATGAAGTTATATCGAATGGTTTAATTTAACAAATTTTTAAGAGCAGAGGGTTTTAATCAAACTCGAAAAATTATAAAGGGTCTTAATCAAAAAAATTCGAACTATATAGGGACCAAATGTAATCTAAACCTTATTTTAAATAAATCAATTATATATGTATATATTAACCGAGTTTCTAGTATATTATTATGATGAATTTTTTTGATAAAACCATCAAAAAAATGTCATGTGATTTGCGTATAACTAATTTTATTTTGAAAATATCCTTCAAATGAATGGGTACATGCATGTTATCAATCTATTACCACCTTCTCTCCTACTTCGCTAGGAATCTGGCCAAAAATAAGCATCATATCCTTTTTTTCTTCTTCTTTTCTCATCTCATTTTTCTTCCTCTAATCCCTTTTTCTTCTATATAAATCAGGCCAAAATCACTAAAAAATAACAAATTCATCGCTTTTTTGGTCAACCCTAAAACCTTTATTTTTTATGCCCAGTACCTTTATATTTCACCTTGAAACAAGCCATAGCATGCATATCTATATCCTTAGACTTTAAAACTAACCTTCACTTTTTTGTCATTTTTTTTTCGATCAAAATGAAGCCCTAGCCAGCTATCCATCATCAAATTTGCCACTTTTTTTTTTATTTTCTATTTTATTTTTCAACCACCCACCACTTTAACTTTTTTTTAATCATTAGAACTCGAGCTTAACACCACAAGCCCACTATTTTTTCATCCAAAAATCACACTAAAACTCCAAATATTAGATGGCCATGCAATTTACATGTGCTCGTTTGTTTAAAGGGTATCTTTGGAATAAAATTATTCATGAGCAAATCACATGATATATTTTTTTTCATTTTACCAGAAAAAATCATCAAAAGGATAAATAAGAAACTCACGGTTTATATATATATAGTTCATTTTAAGAAACATTTATTTTACTGTATAATAACAGACGAAAACATTCCTCTAAAATTTTATGATTGTAGACTATTTTAAAAGACATATGCTGAATCCTTTATCGTTTTACCCCAAAATTAAAAATTGTTCCTGTTGACATGTACTTATGTTTTATCATTTTTTTTTTTTTTTACCCAAGTACCTCCATCTCAAATTGAAAATAAAACTAATTCTACTCGAAACAAGAAAGATAAAATTTAACCCCTCTCCACTCTCAACAAACAATTCTAAAATTCAAATCTTTATATTAGTAAAAGAAGTTTAAATAGTAGCTTGCTTATCACTTTGTTGCTAAATGCTTTATCATTTTCAAAGAATGGTACTAAAAAATAGTGCTAACGCTCAATAAATTCTGATGGATTTAAAATTTGCAGCCCTTTCTTATTTTATTTTATTTGTTTTGCTTCATTGAATACTATGAATGAAATGATTATTTATTGGAATTGTTATTGATTCATGACAAATAGGATATGAAGCAAGAAAGATAATTATTTGCCAACTTGCCATTGAGGCTTGTTTGTAATGTTCATAAACAACATATTTACAGTAAAATATTGAGCTATTTCAAATCAAAGAAAAATGAAAACACAAATCATTTCGTATCTATTACATTATACCAATCTTCTTAGGACCCCTTTTTCACTTTATTTACTTCCACCAAAGTGGGACCACTCCCTTGTCTTTGTCCTCCACTATCTCCATGCCACGTTTCATCAGCTCCTGTAACCTCCTCCTCCTCCTCCTCCACCACCCAATCATCTTTCTCCATCGTCTGTTGATAATATCGGACGGCTACAAACATCATAAACACTGCAAAAACAATCCATTAGCATTGCATGGTAACAAAACCTAATTTTCACATTCTTGCTAGTTTGGTAGTAATAAGGACGAATGTGAGCAGAGGGGTGTGCACCTGCCCAGATGCGAGCAACCATTGAAGAGAGGTTCCATACGAGGCTGAAGATACCCAAAGCCACGGCCTTTTTGTGCGAGCATGACTCCCAAGCATCACGAAATCGTCGAATCCAAAATTTACCTTCATTTTATTATAAAAAATCAAGATTCAAGTTTGAAGTTTGAATAGTTTCTGAAGAGAAGAGAGGGATGCTCTCTAACGGGTCCCAATTCAAGAAAGAGGTAATGATATTATTAGGACGCTCCTACGCTTTAATCTCCATTGTATCGTAATGTTTGGCCAAATTAGCATCCAATACTAAGAGACAATAAGATCCTGATGGGCATGATTAGATTTCATTTGGATTCTAATACGCTCTTCCTTTCTTTTGGACCCATGACGTCCACCGACGCAGGAGACATCATCAATGTCAATAGAACCGTTGCCTGATCAAACCGAGATCAAGCCAGGTTTGGGAAACCATGGTGGGTCTATGTTTCATCTGTCTGTCCTAACATAGGTCCACGTTTGGATGACTGGTGCAAGTGTACTGTGATTTGTGCAATCTAACGGTACAAAATCATAACTCAATCAAAGAAAGATGGAAAGAGACAAAAGAGGTAATAATAATTCAAGGATTTACCATATGCTCTTAACTGCGAGGAGTAAGAAGAGCAGACTTTTGGTACAATGAAAACTCCAAAAAAGCCTGCACAACCATACTTTCAAGTCAAAAAAGTGAAAGAACGTGCAGGGAATTTAACAGTTCCCCTTCTGTTTTGCTGCAAAGAAATAGCGTCAAGAATTGTAGAAATTATTGCAAAATTTCCTTCACCAAGTACCAAAAGGAACCCTCTTGGTTGGTGAATAGCAACCGAACTATAAAAAATACTGCAAACGACAATTACTCCATCTATAAAGTAAACACTATCTTGCCAATCCCAAAAAGGGCGTCCATCAAGACAAGCTGTTTGTTCTTTTTCTTTTTTCTTTTATAATTTATAAATTTCTGAAATTGGACAAAGGAAAGGGAAACCTACCCAATTTTGCCATCTTCCAGATGGTTATGGAGCTGCCACACCTAGCAAAAACAAAGAGCAGCACTGCCATCTGCCATTGCCACAGATTCATAAATCATCAACTTTTTGTTATCTTTCTAAAGGTTCAAACAAAATGAACATAAAAGATAGATCCATGTAATCAAACTCAAATGAGGGAACTTACCTTCATTGTTGTGGCAGGATCACCAGAAAAAAGGGCTCTAATTTTCAACAGGCACTCATTCAAGTAAGGCAGAACCAATTTTAATAACCAAATTGCCTCACCTTCTCCCACCACATAGCTTCCATCATCAACTATATCTATAACTCCCCTGAATTTCAACAAAGAAAAGTGTAAATAAAAGCAATGGGATTCATCTAGTGTTTTTATTTTATTTTTATCATAATATGTTGAATGTTGTACTCGGGGTTTACCTGCAAATAAGTGATCTATACAGAAAAATGGTAGCAAGATAAACAAGACCCAGATAGGAAATCACAGAAATGAAACTGCAGAAGAAAAGATCAAGCAGAGTTTAGTATTGCTCTCTGTTTTGAAACAGAGGAAATACAGTAAACAAAAAAGCCAACATTGAAGTCAGTGTTCTTTTTTTTACTTGCAATATCTAACCTGACATTGAGATCTTTAGTATAGGAGGATGAGATTATGATAAATGTGCCCATTCCAAAGGCTAATGCAGATCTCGATATGTCTCTCCACATAACTAAATCCACTGAAAATCCCCAAAGAATGCCCAAATTCAGATAATTAACTTCACCAAACTAGTAGATTAAAAATAGCAAGCAAAAAGAATTCAGCTTTTCCAATAAATGAAAAATTCACCTAGGTTTTGAAGCTTGCTATGCCTACGAGTTGCTTTGAAACTCTGGTATTCGTTAGCAACTGGAATTGCTAGCAAAAAGTATGGTAAAAACAATCAGAGAAAAATAAATAAAGCAATCCCAACAAAGACAATAACTCAATGAATAAATAGATTAATAAAGCATACTTACATGAAGTAGCAGCAGCCTTCGCAAGATTTTGATAGAGTGTTGCTCTCCTTAACACAGGAGGAGGTTGTTTATTCACAATTGAAGAAGTTGGTGCTGTTCTGTTGTTAAATTGCTGGACTTTTTTCACTTCACTCACTACTTTCTTAGGTTTCGGTTCAGGTGTGCTGACTTCCACTTTCTTAGGCTTCTGTTGTGGTATACAAATCTCCACCTTCTTAGGCTTTTGTTCTGCTACATTTGTTTCCACCTTCTTAGGCTTCTCTTCTGGTATGTTAATCTCCTTAATATCTAAGCTTTTATTTTCAATCTCAATCTCAATTTCTTCTTCTATTTCTTCTTCAAATTCTTCATCACCTTCAAATTCTTCATCATCATCATCAGGAGGAGGATTATCTACCAATGGCTCAGGAGGTGGTTTCTGTATTGACTCATTGATGTCACTACTAGAAATGACCTTTTCTTGGCACACACCAAACTCTTTACAAGTTTCCTCAGATCCAGTCTCCTCAATTTCAGGTGGGCTCTTCTCCATTCCATTAACAGATTCATTCAGTACCTTGTCAGGTTCTGACTCTGCCTTCCTTAACTGAACTGAATTACTTTCAACCCCGCCATCAAGTACAGGATCTTTACCAATACCAGACTGCTTCGAAACCATAACAGAATCAGATTTTACTTTCCTTAATTCTACATTAGATTCCACAACCTCTTTTATGTCAGATCTTTGCTTCCTTACCTGACTTGGGCTTTTCTCATTTTCATCAACAGAAACACCAACCTCTATATTTGCTTCAGATCTTCCTTTCTTGACCTGAATTGGACTTCTAACAATCCCATCAAGCTCTTTACTTCCTTTCTTGACCTGAATTGAGGTTTTATCAATACCAACAACTGACAAGCTGAGCTCTTTATTAATCCCTTCAGATCTTCCCTTCCTTGTCTGAACTGGACTTTTCTTGATTCCATCAACCGAAACACTCAATTCCTTACACCGTTCTTCACTAGTTTTTCCCTTTGCAATCTGAATTGGACCATCTAAGCTCTCAGATTTCCAAGTCTTCCTCTTGCCACTCACAGCCACACTAGTACTTGGACCTTTTTGTCCTCCTCTTTTTACAATCTTTTTTGCACTATTTCCATTACTACTACTGCTCTCTTCAACATTCTCTTCTCCGTTAAATACCTTAATTCCACCTTTAACTTCATCAAGTTTCATTCTGTTCTCCCACACAGACCCTGCTACTACACTAGTTTTAGCCCCAGTATTTCTCCTACTCACATCCATTTTGGACCCTTTTTATCCTATCTATTCTTCTCAATTGCAATCATGTGCTACTGGGTCATGAGGGATAATCATGGATATGTGTCTTTAAGCTCAAGAAATAGCACTTGTTGGTGATTTTACCTACATTGGGATCCCTTTAGCTTTTGCAAAGAGAAAGACAAGACAGAGTGTGAGAGAGAGAAGAGAGAAGAAGATTGTGTTGTAAGAGAAGTGGGGGTTGGTTGTTACTAAGCTTTTTTTTTCTTTTCTTTTTTCACTGGTGTATGATTGTTGGGTCTCTCTATATATTAATGGAAAAAAGAAGAGAAAAAGAGAAAATCTGGTGGGGTTAAATGATATGGGTGTCAAGGACGATGACCCCTCGCTCTCTTTTTGCTGCTTTTCCTTTCTTTCTTTGAGGGGGATTTATTCCTCCACTTTCGTGTCAAAGGATCTATGTGAAGAGCACTGTAACCGAGGCTCAAAATCCCCAAATTCATTAGCCTCACATGCAAATTGAGACGCTGCCTTAAACCAGTGTCAAAGCTGTGCTCATCGGCTAGTTTGTCTAGAAGCTAAAGGCAAAAGAAAGACACATGTGGTGTTGAAAACTGCAATTTGTTAAAGCATTAGCCATCTGCCATGTAAACAGTGTACACCCCTAAATTTGTTTTTTACTCTTCCCAAAAGAGGTCTAGTAGGCGTTAAAGTTTGTAAAGTATAAAACTTTAGGCTTTTAATTTTCCTTGATATCATTGGACCGGTTTTCAAAGACTAAGATAACTCGTGTATTTTAAATTATTATTTAATATGAGGCATAGTGCTTGCACTAAATTATGGTTCAGATTTGACAAATTCTTGAACTAATCCCTACTACCTTATTGAAAAATGATTCTGGTCTATGTGACAGCCATGACCTGCAATTTGGCATATAAACATTTATCTTGCCATTTTCTACCAGAAGTTCAACAGAAAGGACTTCTACTGCAAAGAGGTGTTAACCTACAGCTAAATTCTTCAAACCCATTAATCTGGTTGGTGAAACGGGTCTGTCTATGGGATGTATCTGTCCTTTTCTGCGTATGATTTGTTTTTTCAAAAAAAAAGGCTAAAAAGCCGTTGAGCATTTGGCAAAGATTCTGTCCTTTAAACACTTTAACGATAGTTCAACACATCTGATGATGGTCCATGGCTAATTGCATTAATAAACTAGCAGTACTGGTTTAGAAGTCATATTCAGAATTTAATTTTTATGATTATTATTTTTATAAATTTATTTTTAAAATATCTAAAATCATACCTTGAATAATATCCTTAGCCATATTCAAAAAAAAATTATTTATTGAAATACGTAAACACTAACCAGAAAACATTTTTGCTATTGCTGAAAAAAAAATTGCATTTGGATACTTATGAACAGGAGCTTGGATTAGTGATACTTGTTCTTGCAAAACAAAAAAGGAGAACGGTTAAACTCCAATTTAGTTTTTTTTTCCCAATAAACTGTCCAAAATCTAATGGAACTTTCAATAAATCGAAAAAAAAAAAAGCAAACATTTTTCTTGGTTTTATTAATGAGTTTAATGCGACAAGTCTTACACAATAGTTCTCTTTGTAACTTCTCATTAAATTGACTACAGCTAGCATTCAACGGTGATACATTTGTTCACTTTGTCAAGAGAATATTGGTTTCAGTAATGTTACAATAAGTCAATAACGGTAACGTGGTTGGTTCCAACCCTATGCATGTCTTAGTGATCTATTATGCTCTTTTACTGTCTAATTATCTAATTAATTCTTTCGATTAATTTTTTAAAACAAATACTCACTTGTAGGTCATGTGATTAAAATTTATTCCCAAAATACTCATGATTGAAATGTAGAAACATAAAGGCGAATTTTTAATATGTTCATATATTTCTAATTATGTCTATTATGTTTTTGTAAAATATCAAATTCTCTAATATATATGTTCTTTTTGTAATTTTTCTATCTTAATTAATATAATTATATTTTCTATTTTGAAAATAACCTTGAGTTATACAAGGATACATTACAAAAAATCTAATCCGTTGCTATGTACCATTAGCGACGGATTAGAGACAGCTTTTAATTCCGTCACTAATATAGTGGTCACTATTTTCTTAGCAATCAAAATTTTTTTCCCATCGCTGATTAGCGATGGATTGTTCGTCGCTATTTTGTTGAATTTTCGTCGCTAAATCGATTTAAAATAATCATCTATCTAGTCTCGCATTCATCACTATGCTTGTCATTGTTTTCACTTTTATCCATTGTTAAATAGCGACGAAATGGTCCGTTGATAAATGATATTCATAAAAATACTCGCAATTCTATCACTAAATGTTCTCGCAATGCCATCACTAAACAAATAAATTCTTTTTTTTTTAATAAATAGCCGTATATTATTAATTATAATAACAAACAACTACAAACAATACCTTATTAAAACAACATATATTATTTAATAAAATTAAAATAATATAAATTGAAATAAAATAAATATATAAATGCATCAAGACGTACAAAAACATTAATTTTTTTTTAAAAAAAGAAATCTAGGCCTCATTAGCATCATTTCCTGTATCATTTCTTGGCTACTGGGTGTTGAGAGGAATTGTTATCTCCTAGGTTATGGAAGGGTTAATAGGAGAGACGTTAGTTTGTTGGAAGTTTTGTAACAATCTCATCACTCTCTACAACCGAGTCCGTATGCTACCGGCTTTATTGGCTTGTTGCATAATGATGGTCTCCATCCTCTTGATCCTATCTTCATAATAGGTTGAGACGTCCTAGATATTACTACTAGGATATCGCAAAGCGGCAGAGGAGGAGCTAGAGTTAGAATGTGAGTAACGCTAAAATGCATAAGTTCCGATATCATGCACTCTCTCGCTTCTTCTCCCCTCGACAATATCTAAATATATCTTGGATATGTTAATATTTGAAAATAATGAATTATCTTTCCGCAGCTCCTTAGTAGCTACTTCTTGTATTGATTATACACACTCCTATATCATTGAAATAATTATAATATTAAATTATAAATATATTTTTTAGCTTATATCGATAGATGTATTTATATTTAAAAAAACTATAAAACCTTATCATTACCGTCTATGATAGCCCGTCGACGAATGTCCCATCTTTCTACTTATGAGTGGTTATGAATAGCTCGTAAGAATTTGAGTTATGATCCAATTTATTATGCTAAAAAAACGAAAAATAAAATAATATGAGATGAAATAAATATAAAAATTAATTTATAATACAATGGATAATATAGGGTTCACCAAATGCTCGGTGTGCTTGATCAAAGAGATGGAGTCTCTAGCATGTTTGGATAGGTCGGCACCGACACTACCCATCTCCAATATGCGATTCTAAGAGGCTCGCCGAGATCGAGCATTCGAGCCTAATACTCGGGAGTGGCCCAATCTCGACTCCATGCTTTCCACACTTTTTATTTAACAAACACATATCCGTTACTCTTATGCTTCGGTTTGTTAAGCATGTCATCATACTACCTCTATACTAGACTTTCCTATGCATTTTTAATTAGTATGTTGACAATCGCATCCCATAAAAAGTAATTCTACATGAAGGAAAAAAATAATATTAGTACCTTTCATGTTAAATTAAAATTTTAAATGAAATATAAGCAAATAATTAATATGTTACTCTAAACTCATTAAACTATAAATTAAATAATTTATGTTCTTTTTTTTATTTGTTAATTTTTGTAAAAGTTTGTCAATTAATTATAACTTTATTTTTTGGAATACAATATTATAAAAGTTATATTTTTAAAGTTTTTTTAATTCTTTATTAATATTTTAGTTAAGATTATTACATTTTTTATTTTAAAATCAATCCATAAAGAAGAATGATTTATGTTTTTTTAAACATAAAATTTATTAAAAAAATTAATTTCAAGTTGTTTCACTATACATGCTTTTTTTTTTCCCATCAATCTAGGTCTTTTTTATTTATTTATTTTTTTTTAATTTTCAAGTTGTTTCATTTTGATTTCTAAAGTTTTAAAATAAAAATATTAATCCCCAATCGATGCATCGCACTCGCTTTTTTTTTCTTTGTTTTTTTTCCCCATTAATTTATGTTATTTTTTTTTCATTTGTTAATTTTTATAAAAGTATATCTATTAATTATAACTTTATTTTTTGGAATACAATATTATGAAAATTATATTTTTAATTTTTTAATTCTTGATTAATATTTTAATTAAAGTTATTATATTTTTTATTTTAAAATCAATCCACAAAAAAAATGATTATATTTTTTAAACAAAAAATTTATAAAAAAAAACATTAAATAAATTAATTAAATTAATTAATTTAAAATAAATTTTTTTCTAACGAATCAGCAACGTAGTAGTGCGGACAAACAAGTAATAATGAATCTAAAATGAGAAGTACGAAGAGGGGCGTTCTATTATATAAAAATATAGTAAACCATTTACCTTTTATAAAAATATCTTAGAACTTAGGTTACTAAGAGTCCTTCAAATCTGTATAAATGCTTTAAAGCAATTTGGGATAGATTACTTGCGTATCAATTTGAGTAGGAAAAAAAAGGAAGATTATTGGTCTCCCAAAAAGTCAGTATTTTACCTAATGAATCGACTAAAATGAAGCATTACTAAAATCACATATTTGCTTACCAATTTTAACCCCAAAACAAGCCTGCTTTGTTCATAAACAAACGAAACGGTACCAATGAACCAAGTTTAGTTGAAATTGGGATCTGAGTTCACACATCAAAATCCTATATGTCCTATATCAAGAATATTGATTTGTTCTCCAATGTGGCCCAATCGCCATCACTTATTTTGACTTTTACCAATGACAAGAATGAATTTCTAATTAAAGGAAGCGATCCTTTAAAACATCAGCTACTTACTTCAATAAAAGCTAGCCAGAAAACGGATATAAAAGCCTGCTGGTTTATCTCTTTGCTTGCTATTACATAATGGCCTAAGCTAGCTATGGCAACAAATAGCTTGCGGCTTAAGAGGCTAACGGTGCAGTAACACCGTCTAGGGTTGTAATTCGGCAAAACCAACCAACCAACCATAAGGTTGAAAATGGCTCAATCGCCATTGTTAGGGAGAAAGAATGAATCTACATATATATGTGCTTTGATCATTTTTAGGGCATGAATTGAACGTGGCTGAAAATTTTCTTCAATGGTTAGCAATAAATAAATCAGATTAATACACGAGTCCTGACGTTTGATTTATATTTTTAAAATTTCTTATATTTTTTTATTTTAAAAAAATATTTTTATTCTACATTGAAGATATTAACTAATCGTATTTGAAAAGACATCGATAAAATTTAACTCCTCCTAACAAATATGATTCTAAAATTCAAATATGTATATTGTCAGAAAATTAGTATAAAAATCAGTTTGCTTATCCTTATAATTGACTAACAACTTGTTGGTTAAACATTTTTTATATTTCATCATTAATATAGAATTTAAGTGCAAAATAGGACTAGTAAAATTGAAGATTTATCTAGTAAATGCTACTACATATATATATTTTTTTCAAAACTCGACAACAATATCATTTTGGTTTGTGCTTTCACGTCATAAAATTTTATGGGAGCAAAAGGATTTGCACAATATTGATGCCTTAGTGAATCATGTGGACACATACACGGATGACTGGAAAAATGCAAAATTATACAAGACCTCTATTTCTCCTGTAGTGTAATGATTGCTCCAAACTTGACAAAATCATAAACCTGGTGAGAAAATCAATTTTTTGCATCAAATTACTGAAATGACAAAGGCAACCGCAATGGGAGTAGGGAATGTTTTGCGTAAGACTCTGATTCCATGAATCCAGATAGGAAAACAAGAGCTTCTGAATCTGAGTCCTCCTGTCCGGCCCCCTCCATTTCCTTTCTTTTTGCACAGCATGCATGTGAATCCAAATACGCATGGCTGTCCTTATGTAACGACAATGTCAAGCTTCTCCTCCACCGACACAAATTTTCTGTTCATGCATATATAGTAGACTTGAGTTGTTTTACTTCTATTAATCATGTGGACACATATACGGATGACTGGAAAAATGCAAAATTATACAAGACCTCTATTTCTCCTGTAGTGTAATGATTGCTCCAAACTTGACAAAATCATAAACCTGGTGAGAAAATCAATTTTTTGCATCAAATTACTGAAATGACAAAGGCAACCGCAATGGGAGTAGGGAATGTTTTGCGTAAGACTCTGATTCCATGAATCCAGATAGGAAAACAAGAGCTTCTGAATCTGAGTCCTCCTGTCCGGCCCCCTCCATTTCCTTTCTTTTTGCACAGCATGCATGTGAATCCAAATACGCATGGCTGTCCTTATGTAACGACAATGTCAAGCTTCTCCTCCACCGACACAAATTTTCTGTTCATGCATATATAGTAGACTTGAGTTGTTTTACTTCTATTAATCATGTGGACACATATACGGATGACTGGAAAAATGCAAAATTATACAAGACCTCTATTTCTCCTGTAGTGTAATGATTGCTCCAAACTTGACAAAATCATAAACCTGGTGAGAAAATCAATTTTTGCATCAAATTACTGAAATGACAAAGGCAACCGCAATGGGAGTAGGGAATGTTTTGCGTAAGACTCTGATTCCATGAATCCAGATAGGAAAACAAGAGCTTCTGAATCTGAGTCCTCCTGTCCGGCCCCCTCCATTTCCTTTCTTTTTGCACAGCATGCATGTGAATCCAAATACGCATGGCTGTCCTTATGTAACGACAATGTCAAGCTTCTCCTCCACCGACACAAATTTTCTGTTCATGCATATATAGTAGACTTGAGTTGTTTTACTTCTATTAATCATGTGGACACATATACGGATGACTGGAAAAATGCAAAATTATACAAGACCTCTATTTCTCCTGTAGTGTAATGATTGCTCCAAACTTGACAAAATCATAAACCTGGTGAGAAAATCAATTTTTGCATCACATTACTGAAATGACAAAGGCAACCGCAATGGGAGCAGGGAATGTTTTGCGTAAGACTCTGATTCCATGAATCCAGATGGGAAAACAAGAGCTTCTGAATCTGAGTCCTCCTGTCCGGCCCCCTCCATTTCCTTTCTTTTTGCACAGCATGCATGTGAATCCAAATACGCATGGCTGTCCTTATGTAACGACAATGTCAAGCTTCTCCTCCACCGACACAAATGTTCTGTTCATGCATATATAGTAGACTTTAGTTGTTTTACTTCTATTAATTATGGGGGTAAAAAAGAAAGAGGAGAAGATTCTTCGTGGCTTAAACTATCACCTGTTACTCAATTATTTTACTTCTATATATTTACCTAAACTTACACAATTATAGACTTAGATTAAGTTTGAACGCATGCTATTCATTTCGTTTATTAAAAAAAAACCCTACATCTTTGGCTATAAAAGAAGAAGAACGTTTTCATTAAAATACATCTTAAACTCTATTTTTTTTTTTTAATATGTTAGTCTCGATTGACGGAAAAAATAATATATATATATATATATAAGTTAAGATTTTTAAATTATACAAGTTAGAACAAAAATTATACATTGTCTATCTAACTATACATTTGATCACATAAAATAGATGCACCACTTGTCATTTTTTGGCCTAAGATCACATGACAAAGTCTACATAAGAGTCCTTTTTTTTTACCCCCGAGAAATCTACGTGAGAGTCATGAAATGGCTCTTTGGGATTTGGATTAAATATTATTGGGACTTGTTAAAATAGGGCGAAAAATGCTATACCAGCTGTGTATAATACGGGTCTCGTTCGCGGCAGGCTTCATCATTATATGCCGCTTAAGGCACGTGATCTTGGCTTTCTACCCGCAAAATCTTGTCAACCACCATCCAATCTTCTGTCCCATAAAATGTCTCTATTTTTGTGAACACACTACGCAGACGGTGGCTCAGCTCAGAGACACTGTTTTTGTTTTTTATTTTTCAAATTACGTCCTTTTTCGTAATAAATTTTACACCACGAAGGCATGTAAACCTGACTCCACCTGATTTTTCTAAATCAATAATATTAATAGTTAAAAAAAAAGGCAATAAAAACGAGCATCCCTTTCGTTTTATGTATCTCACAAGATCACATCTAGATAATAAATTAAAGCATCGAACATAAATTAAAAAAAAATATATAAATTTATTTTTCAGAAACTCTATAATCACCTTAGTAATTGGAACTCACGTGACCAAAAGTTGGAGGGCCTCACCGTCTCATATACCTTAAAGCTCTTTTACTTTACGACTCCAAACATGAATAAAAGACAGGAAAATCTAAGCTTCAAAGAGCTACATTCAACTTAAGAAGGTTGATATATTAAACTCAAGAAGTTGAGCAGAAGTTTAAATAAATAGTTTTGGTTTTAAAAAAGAAAATTTAAGTACTTATATTCGTTTTATACGTCCGATCAGATAACAAAAAATTAATCTAAATATTTAAATATTTGAACTATAAAGGTCAAAGAAGAAGAAGAAGCTGCATTCAATTATTCACAACTAGTTTTGATGAAAACAAAACAATACCAACTTCTTTACTAACTCCAAGATTCTTCAGAGATTGGAGACCAGTTTGGTGACAAATCCAACCAATCAAACATCTGCTTGTATATATGTGGATAGATGGCATCGGTGACAGTTTGACTCATATTCGTTAATTATCATATCTTACTGTTATTAAAACTTTTTATCTTAGATTACGAGCAACTGACCGAATCTGTAACAGGGACTGAATTTCACTAAAAAAAAAAAAAAAAACCATAACAAGAGGAATGCAATAATTTAGGCAGGGAATTTAAAATTACAAAATGGTCCACTTGTTTAATTATTTACCATAAAGACACAGTGATTACATTATATGTTACCATATAACCATTTTTAAGAGCCAAGAGCCAAGCAATGGGTGCTATCCAAGAACAGGTAAATTTAGAAAGCAAAATGGAACTTAATACAGAGCTCAGATTTCATTTCTAGGAAAATTTGGGAGATCCAGTGTCAAATATTCTCTAATACAATTAAGAACTGACAAGATTAACAAAGGAGAAGAAAACTAGTGGAGTCAGATGTTTTAACCATCTTCGTTTTACAAGTATCTTAGTTTTTTTACTTCTGCAAGTTCTTCAACATCCTCATCCATCCCATTGATATAGTTCCATAATTAATCCATATATATTCAAGTGAGTGGCCACTAGCCGGTATTTACGAATGCAAGGGAAGCCAGGTTCGAAGCAGAAGACTGTGTTCTAAGTGAAAAAAACTAAACAATGTACAGTTGAACAGACTATCTGTACATATACAGGAGGATATTAACAAAAACAAGTTCAGGAAATAAGTGAAAACCTAACCTGACCGAAAAGATCAAAATTGTAAGAGGGGAGAAAGTCCCCAAACTCCTTACTTGAATATCTACAACAAAAAATTTAGCTAACGGATACTTTACAAGTTGCCTTCCAAAAGAAAAAGATTCTGCACACTCCTCTGTATCTGTACAAAAGATAATAACTGTCAATTGCGTTAGTTAATTCAGTAAGAGTGAGAAAAAAGTTAAGACGCATTGGAGGAAGAATAGGGTAGAAGCTCACCTTTAAAAAGACGAACTCAATCTAGGAGTTTGTAGCACATTGTCACTTTATCTGATATACCTACATTTCAGACTTAATCTACCAGCAAATTTACATTTCTTTACTGACATCAACAAGATCCCTGCCTGTCTGCTCAATTAACTGTATCCGATGCCTCTGCTATGCCAGAGTTCTCCCTAGAAAAGAAAAAATTAGTTCATCTTTGAACAGTATCTCATTTGACACTGCCACGCTTGATTTGAGTTTGTAACAAGCTTTCAGATTCCTTATGAGCACCCAGTTTTGAGTTATCACTTTCTGCTGATTTCTTCATTTCTATCTCTAGCTGCTTGCAGTTCTCGTCGTGGGCTTTGTGGAACAGTCTCACAAAATTGAACAGAGTTGATACAACTGCAGAAGTGTTAAAAGACTTATAAGATGGACTCTGAAAACGACTGCATTATCAGCTCCTCAAATTAGGCACTAATGACAGTTTATGTAGATAATTGGAAGAAAACTGATGAACTTTAAGATGAAGCTTTATCACATAAATAAAGATTTTCATATGTCTTCAGCACATGAAATGGTGCATAAATTCTATTGATCCACAGGTGGTAACAATCAGGATCAATACAAACTACAAAGGTGGATTGACTAGAAACATATAGACAAGGAGGTTTATGCTAGATGCCGAAATGTTAATTTAGCACAAGATATGACATACGTTTATGTTGTGCTTGGTTTGGGGTTAAAAATTGAAGGTGAAGTGTTAAGGGTGTAAAAAAACGAAGTTAAGGGTGTGAAAAAAATGATTGAAGGGGGAAATGTTAGGATGTTTGGTAGGTGTGTAAAAATTATGTGAAATCGTGGGATCCAGTAAACTTTAAATCAAAATTTAAATTAAATATAATTAAAAAGTACTTATAAATAATGCACATTGACAGGGACCCAATAGTTGGGTTCAGGAAAAAGAGAGGGAAATTGAATGATGAGTTTGAAGAAACACAAAATGGCACGGATTCTAAAATTTGCTCCTACCCCCACGAGGTTAAAATCCCTCACCCCTAAAGTTTGCAAACGGGGTTAAGGGAATTCACAGTTAACCCCCTTTAACCCCAACCAAACACAACCTTAATGCAGTCGATAAAGACTTTCATTCAAGTATCAAAACCCAATTACACAGAACCCATTTTTGTAATCTAAAAACCAGCATGGGTGCCAGTACATGGTACATCATTAAATAGAATTAACTAACAACCATCTAATGCGCTAGATTGGATTCATAAGATATGAACAAGCACTGCCATATTATGAAGATATCTTAGGCAAAGAACAAATACCTTGCTCGAATGAGCAGCGTGCTGGATCTTCTCCAAAATATAGAATCAATGCATCCACATTTCTACCCTGAAAAAAACATCAAATTCCAGATTATATAAAAAAAAAAATTTAGAGTAATAAACACTTAATTAGCACAACTATCCAGGCAAAGTTTTAAAACCTACCACTCCAGAGTACAAAGAAGCCAAGGATCTCACTTCAGCTTCAGCAAAACGAAGGAACTCCTTTAAAATCTGAGCAATGGAAGATAAGCTACATGAGAAAAATTTATAAATATGCTCGCACAAACATGTGCAGGCATGCCTGTGCTAACAAACATCTGTGGATATCCTCTCACTAGTATAAGGACCGACACAAAAGAACAAGCGTCTAACAATCCTATATGATCACTGTTTGGGTGCAAGTCCTTCTCACAAATTTCTTTGAAGATTTAGTTACCTTGCATCCAGTCTGAGAAATGCTAACATTGAATCACTCAAAATAAAGCTACATTCTCTATTTAGAGAATCCAAATACAACAATCTGCCTTTTATGCACGATGGTTTTATTAAACTCCCATCACTAGTACCTGAATCAGTTCTAACTTGGAGTTCATTCCAACATCACATCAGATGATGTTTGTTCTACAATCAGCTAAAAGAAATTGGAGTACAATCCAAAATACCATCTGAAGGGATCAGGAAGGGTAAATCTTTGCCAGAATAGATTCATGCCTGATCTAGTAAGACAATAAACTATGTCCGGCAATCATATAATAACCCATCTCAATGCGCACATCTTGAATATACTCTCATGCATGGTCAATATTACCAAAAAATATATCCCTCCTCACCCCAACTGACCAAAAGAGGAGGATCTTTCCCTCCAGGAGTAGGAAAATTGTGTTTGGGATAGCAGTTTCAAAGCAGTGTGTATACGTAAACAATATGTGGGTGTGTGCTATATATAGGGATTTACCAAATTCTTTATGATTGTTCCTCTTCTTATTAATAACATTTCAAAATTCCTACAGCCCTTCTACTATATCTAGGGCAAAAATTACTTGCATTGAGGTCCATGTTAATCTAAGCCCTTACCTGAATCGATAATGTAAAGTGTAAAAGCTTGGTTTAAGAGAAGCATGTGATCATTGTACCAATATTTAAGCTTGAATACTGAGTACAAGAATAAGTAATCTACTTAGACAGGGAAGAATTGCATTTGATAAAGAAGTAATAACAAACAAATTCGTTTTCTCCTATACGAATAACAAAAACCATCAACTGATCTGCAGTACCTTACAGAAATTGTCTGATATAGGACCATCACCTTCTGAGGCGGCCAATTCCTGTACAACTTTTTCCAGTCCTTTGCTTATGGCTTGCATTTCCTCTGCCAAAAATTTCAATTGTACCTAGATGGAATGCCCATGTGTTAGTCACAAGATACTGGTTTTTCCAAACGCCTTGAAATGATCAACAAATCAACAGTTCTACCTTTGTTGAGGGTTCCAAACTGGCAAGGTCTTTCGAAAAATCTAGAAGTTCTGGTAGCTTGTCAGCAAGTACCTACAGCATATCAAGCAGAATGTATGTGATTTGCATAAAATTCTGTGCAAAATAAGCAATGGAAACTTTCATCATATGGAAGTAAACATAACATCTATAATTTGACACACATAACATAATCTCATTTCCATGGACAAGCCTCTGTAAACAACAATTAGAAGCTGTGTCTGATGCATGTTCAAACAAAATAATAAGAGCAGAACAGACCTCTTTGGTTCTGAAAAAATGGGAATCAAAACTGGGCCAGAAAAACAAATAGAAGGTAAACGAATTAATGGGTCAGTTAAGTTCTGTGGGTATATTTCACATAGTTCAAAACCATGTATTGACATCATAACATAAATAACAGCATACATGTGTATAGCTGTGTAAAATCACAAAAAGCAAAGATACAAATATGTCATGTTTTGGATCTTTCTTGTTATGTTATACTTCACTAGTACAGAAACATATGCTATGAAGAAGCATGCATGCATGAATGAGATGTAAAAATGAATGCAGGTCTCCATAGAATTTTCATATCGAAAGTTAGTTTCATAGGAGAAACATGAAAGTATCAGTTTGTACCTTGCAAAGATAATGCATGAGAGTCATTTTGTTGTTCCTTGCTCGCGTATCAGTTAGTTTAAGAAGGCTATCCAACCTAAATCCAATAGCCGAACCTAAAAGAAAAAGGGAACAAACTTTCTATTAAACTAAAGGAATAAAATGCAGTTACCAGCTGAAAGGTAAAACAGTGCTACAAAATGAATATCAGGTCGCAGGATAAGAAACTGCAAAGGTTTACAAGAAGATATGCACAATAACAGGAAGAAAAAGAAGCCCCTCTTTGGTAAATATCAAATGTGATCACAAATATAGCAAGCATCAAGATGCAAACCAACTGGATAAATCTGATTTGGTAACCTAAGGTGTCTCAGCTCTCAAATAATAATAATTATTTTTTTTTGTTAAAAAAAAGATCTCTCAAGTGATGGCAGGGTAGAAGACAGAAGGTAGAATAAGACTGGTATCTTCAGATAAGGAATTCTATTCTTGTAAGTAAAATAAAACGTACCAAAATTTCCTATCCCTAATCATCATAATCCATGAACTAAGCAAAAGTAATCCAAAACCTAATTGATAAGTATGTAGCTAGTGCCCTCATAGACGACTTCTCATAATGGCTATGAATGGTTGCTTCTTGAATAAGGCTTAGATAATCTTAGTACTAGGAGTTATAACTTTATCTGATTTAAGGAGTGGTCCACTGTTGGCCATGCATGCATTTCTCTCATTTTCATCCAGTAAATAACAATTAATAAGCTAATGTTAGAAGAAATGACTAATCATTCACAACAATAACAACAAACATGCCTTCATAAACTATTTTAAAGAAATAGATAACATCTTCAAGGAGGTCGTAGAAGTGTGGCATGGAGTAACAAATTTTCATGAAAAATGTCAAAAGAATGTCAATTAGCAACCTTCTGATTTTATCAAAGAAGAAGTATTTATCAAGAAAGGAGAAAAATACAAAAGTACAACAATACGGAGATTTTATCAGGAATCCTTCTGGATAAAAAATAAAATAAAATTACAGGGATGAAAGGGTTTTTCAAATCCAATTTAATATCAGCTAAAAGAATTCCTCTAACAATAGGACAAAAACAAAAAAAAAAAACCAGAACCACAAAACCTAATAAAGTAGGAAACCACTCTATTTCACATTAATTGCTTAAAAAAAAGTGGATCACAAAAATTCACGAATTCTTTTCTGTCCAAATACACCAAATCACCAAATCACCAAAATCAGAGCACGTTTCCAAGAAATTTACAACCTCTCCAGTTCAAAACCCATTGATGACTGAATACAAAAAATCTTCCAGAGCTTGTGTGAAAACCCATCATTCATCAAAAAGTCCAGATGATGGAGGACCCACTAAGGATCTCATTATTTTTATGCTAGAAAGAAAATGTATGAATTGGATATTAATTATATATTTTTTAAGGCACCTAATGTTATGTTTTGAGGCAGCTTTGGATGTTATTGAAAAATTAAGCTTTCTCATTTTCTCTATTGCTTGTATTTTCTCCCTTATCTTCTCTCTTTTCTCTCCCTCTTTCCTGTCCTTGTATTATTTGTTCATCAGCAGAAAGACAATTCCACATGTTCCAAAAACACCAAGTGCATAATTGACCACCTAAAATTAGTAAAGAAAGTGAAGTCCTTTAAAAAATTTACATGCAGAGAGAAGCCCTAACAGGACCCTTAAAAAGTCTACTATTTCCCATGAACATATTTTCCCATCGGCAATCATGGGAGCAATAATTGCTATGGATCCAAATATACGAGAAACAACACCATCGCAAGATGGTAGACCAATGAAAGTTTCTGCTTACCCCTAGCAGTTCCCTGATTCAAAGCATTTCCGAGCGAAAGAATAGTCTGCATGACTCTCTTCAATTTGGCAGAATTCTTTATCTGATAAACCACCAGAAAAGGAGTGGTTCCAATATATAGAAAATGTGAATTAAGACCCAAAAGACTAACATATATAGAGAAAGTAATATAGCATAACTTGCCTCTTCTGCTGCAGAGTTCACAACATTCAGGCATTTTCTGAGGTCAGAAACCTAAAATTGCAAACAAAAAAAGTATAGCTCAAATCTAACACAAAACCATGCATAATAAGGTAGCAAACAATCGAATACATTTTCTAACCTGGGAATGAAACTGCATCTTAAATGAGAAAACTCTGAGTTTAGATTCTACTCTTGGCACCTTCATTAACTCTAAGAAGAACTACCAAAAAGATCCACAAGCTTATTAAATAAGAAATTGATGCAAAAAGGGATCATTTCAACTAAACACAAATTCTTTCATTCTTTAATCGACTCTTTCTAAAGAAAAACAGCAGGTACCCTTGCACATCTGACCAAATAAATGAGGAGCCATCCTGATAGAGAACATGGACATAGATTTGAATCATCGGAATTATATCCACATTGCAACCTCAATGTCCTATGAATGTTGGTTTTGACAGAATGAAGAGCAAATATACACTTAAAACATACCCAGGTTACCCTCTGACACATCTAAACATTTTCGACAAAGACATGAAATCAGTATACAAAAGAACAAAAAAAGAAAAAATAAAAAAAAAAGAAAAGAAAAGCATCGAGTCCATCCAAAGTTCAACCAAAGTTCAACCGAAAGAAGTAGCAATTTAGAAGTATCATAAATATCCATGTGCAAGCCGTGTAGTTCAGAGAAATTCTTGTTCAACCTTTCAACAAGAGACAATAACAGACAATTGTATAGGAAAAGGAACATTACTACTGACCTGCTCACATTTTCCTAGCTTTTCCTTTTCTCCAGTGTATCCCTGGACATAGAAATGAAAAGGCAATTATCTCTCAAAACACATGAAAGTATCATCTTGAAGCTCCTGACTGTTTGTAATCAATTAGAGCGAATGGGGTAGTCGGACAAACTTATTGAGTAGAAAACTATAACTACAAAAGGCAGCAAAAAAGGGGATATCTCCCAGTTATGAACCCAACAAAATGGAGTCATAGAAAGAAGTGAAGAAAATCCTACTGTTGAAGATTATTTTAATGGAGTGGCTGGCCCAAGGTTTGAATATGCACCCTTGCAAGTGCAAGACATCATACCATTATACCTAGCAATAGCCCCGAAGGATGCACGACAGTGCATAATACTAAACTTAAAAACAAAATCACCTTAAGCAGTTCCATCTCCTCTTTTGTTGGACAGAACTTTATGAGGTTGTCAACCTGATCAACGTCTAATGCTGAATCCTCGAGGGTAAGTACTAAACTCTGTCAATGTATCATACATTGGAATTAGGATAGTGAATTATAAACTATAATTCTGAATGGGATGTGACTTAAAGCGATAACTAGCAGAAAATAAATAAAATCATTGCAGACACAAAATTATTTTATAGAAAGCGCAAGAAGATGGAAAGAATAATAATGACAAGAACAGAAATTTCAATAACAATTAATAGTATGATTTACAATTCCTAAACCTCAATAATGCAATCTGACTGTCATTGCAAGGGATGAAATTTCTTTTTGAAAATTATAAACTGAAGGGCCTCTAAATAGATCTACTTGCATAACTATTGAGATGATATTACGTAGGAAGACAGTAATGAAGCGAAATGTTAGTAATGGCATCAGGAGTATCGTGATTGCTTCAGAAAACATGCATTTGATTTCTCTATATGTTCTCTTTAAGGTGCTGTTATGGCTGCAAGAGTAAAAAGTTGTAGCTATGGTAGTTATGATATGTTTGGTATTGTGGTCTTGGTACACAAAAGCCAATCATGGTAGTGTCCCAAAGAATCAATGGCAATGCTTTTCCAAAACACCTAAACTGCATTGATGTTCTTGGCGCATGCCAAACAAAACTTCAGAGAATAACATAATTCACAAATATTATCCTAGATATAACAGAGTATTTGTGTTGCTCAGCATATATGGGTAGAGAAAGGGATAGTAAAGTTGACTTCTGAATTCATACAAGTCCCAAGCGCTATACTAGGAGGCCTAGCTCTGAACATTACATTTAGCTTACCATTAACTCATGTAGTGGCACTTTCACCTTTGAAAGCATGATTTCACAATTGTATGCTCGTCTATGGTCAACCTGCAAGAAAACAATAGAAAGAAGGACATGCAATACTTAGACACACACAACTATATGCTCTGGGTTCCATCTCCAAAATATAAAAACTGAGATGCTGAAATTTTTCATAAAATAGTATGTTCTCAAGTAGCAAAACAATATATTACTTATCTTGTATTATGACCCATAACAGCAGGTTAGTTATATAACCTTTAAACTGTGATACTTCAAACACTAGAATGACTAAGATAGTGGATTTTGAATTGACTTTTACAACCAAAAAAAAAATCCCCAGAAGTCTGAATGGTAAAAGCAAAAGCTTAATGTGGACAATTTCAAGTAACAAAAACAAATTGGAGCAGAGATTCATTACATCGGTTATAGGTGAAGTATTAATTTTGGTCTCAAGACTGTCAATAAAAAAATAACAACGGCAGGGGTTGAAAGAAAAGGATTGATGCACACTTCTTCTACTGAGAAAAATGGCAGCAATCATTAACTACATCAGTTAGGATAACATATTAAATTACCAATTGCACTTTATCAACTTTAGGTCCCCGCGAGCTACGCGCACTTGATTTCCCGCCATGATCTGTATTTGAAACTGCTGCAGAAAAAAGATTCTCAAGTTCTGACATGTCAATTTCTGGGGCCCTATTGGAAGAGGTCACAAAAGAAAAGGCAATAAGACTTAAAGAATATGAGAGCATGGAATGATGTAGATTGTTTGGAAAGCAGCACATACTTGGAGGCTTCGCCAGACTTTTGCGACTCAGCCCATAAGCTTCCTTGTACAGCTCTTGTTAACTTCAACCAATGCAATGGCTTCAACTTTTTGGTTTGATTGTTCCGTGAAGATACAGTGCGAGACAAACGACCCTTGGAGATGGAGGGGGAACCTAAGGGTGGTGCAGGAGTAGGTGGGGCAGGAGATGGAGGCCCAGACAATTTATTATTTCCATTGTTGCCTGTCTTTAAACTGCCCTTACCAGAAGGAACAGGAGGAGGAGGCGCAGAAGGAACATGAGAGGAATTGGTTGACATAGTTGGAGGAGGCGGTGGCGCTGGTGGCATTGGAGATGAAACAGCTGGGCTGGTAGCTGGTCTTGAATGAAGAAGAGGAGGAGTAGGTGGGGATGGATGAGATTCAGCTCCAATAGCACTATTCTCCTTCAAAGGTGGAGGTGGAGGAGGAGGAGGAGGATGTCCAGCTCCCATGGTGCTATTCTCCTTCAAAGGAGGCATTGGAGGAGGTGGTGGAGGCGGAGGTCCAGCTCCAATGGTGCTATTGTCCTTCAAAGGCGGCATTGGAGGAGGTGGAGGAGGAGGGCGTCCAGCTCTAATGGTGCTATTCTCCTTCAAAGGTGGCATTGGAGGAGGAGGCAGAGGAGGAGGAGGTGGTGGTCCAGCTCCAAATATGCTATTCTCTTTCAAAGGAGGCATTGGAGGAGGTGGTGGAGGCGGAGGAGGTCCAGCTCCAATGGTTTTGTTCTCCTTCAAAGGTGGTGTTAGAGGAGGTGATGGAGGTGGAGGAGGTCCAGCTCCAACGGTGCTATTCTCCTTCACAGGTGGTGTTGGAGGTGGTGGTGGAGGTGGAGGAAGTCCAGCTCCAATGGTGCTATTCTCCTTCAAAGGTGGCATTGGAGGAGGTCCAGCTCCAACGGTGCTATTCTCATTCAAAGTTAGCGTTGGAGGAGATGGAGGAGCTCCAACTCTAATGGTATGAATTTCCTTGAGAAGTGGCATTTGAGGAGTAGGTGGGGTTGGGCATTCAGTTTTGATAGTGGAAGTATCCTCCTTAAAAGGTGGAGCTGGTGGTGTTGATGGAGCAGTAGGTTGGAGACTGACTGATAGTGAATTACCTCTGCCCTCTAAATGGGTTTCAGTCTCTATGATTGATGAAGGATCTACTGGTTCTGAAGCTGAAAAATGAAGAGTTGGTGATGGATGGGGAAGAACTTTAATGGCACTAGAAGTCACAACAGGTCGCAATGGTGGAGGCTGTGCAGGTGTTGATGGTGAGATAGAACCACCTTCGGGTTCCATGAGTTTTGTAACAGCCGAAGCTTGTTCTGAGGAAGCTGTAGGTACTGTCGTATTACTGAACTTAGATTGGTCGGCAAGCCCTTTTCTAGGACTCATTTCCTGCCTTTGAGCAGTAATCTCTACTCCATGCTGCAAATCTGCACCTGAGTGTTCCTGGGCAATATTTGATGCGCTAATCTGTTGGAGCACATTAAGTGCGACATCTGACTTGGGATCTGACCAGTCGACAGAGCTAAAGATCTCTTTAACTTTAGCAAATGCTTCCACTGGAAGCCCTTCCTTCTCCTCAAAGCCAGAGAAATCTTCTGGAACAATGGACGCAGCAGCATCCATTTCAGAGAAAAGAATCTTCACCCAAAGAATAGATTCGTGTTAGAAGGAAGAGAATGAAAAAAAAAAAAAAAACAAGCAGCTATGCCTAATGAAATATAGTATAGAATTAAGAACCTCTGCCCTGAAGTCCTTTGGAAATCGATCTTTTGCATCCCATAACATGTCAATTTCATCACGGTTAAGCATCAAGATATTTGACCTAATAAAAGCTGTGTTAAACACAGCTCGAAACATCATCTGTTCACGTTCCATGTCATCATTTAAGCTGATACACTCAAGCACAACATCACCTTGTATATGGCAATTGATGTCAACTTTAACGAGTTCACATTCTACCTGGAATAAATTAGAAGGGGTTCAGATAATCATATATGTAAAGATGGGACCACGTCCATAGTGTTTGTGGAGAACATATGCCAAAATAAATAGCAAATAGAACAAATGAAGAAAAGTTGATATTCCAACAGAAAGAAAAGGAAATGTGTTGAAGCATAAAACCAAAAACTCTTAGGCAATTATGACGTTCCAAGAACAAAAATTAAATGTAGCAGACTCAAGCTCACTACAGATGAAGCTTCTGAAAAATGAGCTCAATAACTACTACATAATGAATTCATCATAATCCTTTCTCCACAACTGATCGGTCTTTGGTTTCACCATATAGGGACTGACGAAAAACATATTTTTAAGTTAACATCAACCATATTTTGTCAATGCTAGACTCAAAAGTCATTCAAAATTTCACCTTGTGCTGCTCGCTGTTAAAGTCCCACACTATTAGGTTCCTACGCCTAAAACAACCAGCCTGATCATCAGGGTGTCTACTATCATCTTGGGACAGTAGATAAATAAATTCCACTAGTTGGGTAGGAGTCATTGGACAAAAGATCCCAGGAATCAGTGCTTATATCCATAAATGACCTATATTTCCCTAAGAATAAGCCTCCAAGAAATACCTCCAGAAAGATTCAAGAAAATATTTTTTCACCAGTAAACGGACTGAACATAAAAATGTCTGGCTTTAAATATCTAGAAAAGAAAGTTCTTATCTTAGTGGATTAATTTTACCAAAGAACTGGGTACATCAGTAATACTAGTGCCTTGTGATGATTTGGATTCCTCCATCCATCCTGACAGCTTTCATGGGGTAATTACCTTGTTGCAGTAGAGCTGAACTTGCCAGTTCATTTGAGCAGTTATGAGGCCATTTTGGTTCATGCTTATTTCTTTGAGATTCTTAGTTGACGGTAAAAGCTATTCTTGTTCTATACAATTCCACAATCCAAAGATACCACTGTCATCTAAGAGTGCAAAATGAAGCAATTATTGCAATCTAAATGTTGTCACATGATGTTTCAACAGTCAACTTACACAGGTGGGAATAGAACTTTGTAAGGATCGGCAAGAACAATGAAGATTGTACAGAAAAATAAAATAAATTAAAGCAAGTACATAGAATATAGAATTATGAGGATACCTGCTTGTAAGCCCGGATAATTTTTCCTTTCTTTGGAGATGAATACAGAAGCTTGGAAGTTCGATCAGAAACAAGATAAGGGTCCTGCCCGTATACCCGAAATAGGGGACGGCAACCCCCTCTCCATCAAAATTAGGAATAAATCTCAGAATGACACAATCCAAGGTGAGAGCTCTATCCAACGGAGGCCATTCTGAGGCCACATTCCTCCTGGAGACATACTGTAGATACCTCAGTTGAGAAGGCACAGGATTCAATGGTGAGAGCAACTGCAAAAGCTCACGAGGAGCCTGTCTGTGAATCATGTCCAAGGTCTTCTGCTCTCCACTATACTGTTTCCTATAAATCAACAGTCCAGCGAGCATGAAAGCAAGAACAGGCCAACCACCATGTTCACAGTGCATTAACAGAATATTCTGCTGTCCAAGAGAGAGCCAACTTTCTCCCGATCTTAGAAAATGGTGAATCATCTCCATCGTGAGCAATGGGGAACCCTCGTATTGCCAAGGGTACTCCATTAAGGTCATATCATACTCGGACAAAGCATCTGCAATCTGGGTTTGTTTCTCTCCCTCGCGGAAATTAAACACCAAGAATGAAGCATCAGGGAAATGTTCTTTAAGTTGACTGACAATTCCACCTATGTAACCTCTATAATTTTCTTCTTTCCAAGCATCAATATTAAAGCAGCAATCAAACACTGCATTTACACAGAATGTGCACATGTCAGTCATCAAATTAAACCTCAAACCCAATCGTTATTTTAAGTCATAACCACAACATGCCACCAAAAGTTTTATCTTTTCTAAAGGAACCTAATCATAAACCTCTTGAATCTTGACTCAAGCCATCAAGCCCCAAAATTTTAAAATGTCAAAATCCTTTCAATAAAAAAAGAATTCACTACATTCTAACTTAGTACTGTAATTAAGCTAATTAGTTTCTATTAGGAGCCTAAACATGAGTATAGCTTAAGAAAAAGTAACAATCAAAATTCACCAACCCCAAATTCCCTTTCCTACAATACATGCTCTTAGAAACCTAACAGAAAAGAATTTTTTTTTTTATCAAACCCACTTCAAAACATAACTCAATTATTCAAACACAATCAACCAATTTTCTTCCTAAAAGGAAAACGAACTTAAAATTGAAAAAAAAGCGCAATCATTCTTAAAAACAAAGTAGTAAAATAAAAGAAAACTGACCATAAACACGCTCGGAGATCTCAAGAAGACCATCAGGAGGTTTCCTATAAAACAATTTGCGAAACAATGACATCTTTTAATTACTCTCTATCTCTCCTTCAATTTCCAGACTTTCTTAAACCAAGAAGCACCCAAAAAAACAACTTGAACGTAACAAGAGGAGCTTGGTTTGGTAGTAACTAAGAAATTTAATTTTCCTTAATAAAGTTGGCTTTAAAGGAAAGAAAAGTGGGAGCTTTTGGTTGTGGATTTTTGATTTGATAGATGGGGATGTTAGTTTTGTTTGTTACCATCAAAAGGTTAAATGGAATCAGGCAGCTGCTGCCTTTCCCTTTCTATACCTGAAATTTTATTTCATTATGATTACCTAACTGCTCGGTGGGGATGGCATGGCGGATTGTTTTGTCTTACGTGGAAGCCATTAACAACCGACATCTAAGCAGTTGTTGAGGTCATCATGCATGTAATGTTACACGAGGCTGTAAGTTTTTAAAGTACCGTTAATACTATTATTACGAAAAAGATTTGATTGGATAATGTTCATTTTTTTTTTTTATCAATTTTGATTGGACCAAGTTTGCATTGTCAATAATGGGTTGCCAACAAATGGGCTACTTTCAATACTTCAACTAGGCTTTCTGGTAGTGGGCTAACGGCCTCATATCTATTAAATCTTGTGTGTAGGCCCTAGATTATTTATGGTTTAATGGCAATTGTTTGCCCCTCAATTATTAGGGTTAGGGCAAATTGAGACATATACTATTAATTTGGTCAATTTTGATCTTAAACTATTATATTTTAGGCAAATGTTTTCTTTTTCCTGTTTGATTTGGCCGTTAGTATTGACCAAAAACCTTTTAAAAATTTTAAATTTTGGTATTTTCAATTGAAAATTTTCATAAAATCTAATTAAAATTCAATCTATTTTCACAAATACTTTCTTTTCTTTTCTTTTCTTTTTTAATTTTGAAGTATATTTTTATTTTATAAATAATAAAATTCAATAAACTATAAAAAATAAAAAATAATATGGAATTATATCAATTTTTTTAGAAGCTCTAAATGAGGTCATATTAATTTACATAGGTAATTTTAGTGTGGTTCTCAAAATTTTTAAATATGTAGTTCCTAAAATCAACCTAAATCAAACTTTATTTGGTGTTACATATTCATTTTTGCAAAAAATTTTAGAATCATACTAAAACTAAAAGATAAATTATATGATTTTTTTAGACCTTCCAATAAAATTTTGGATCATTTCAAATTATTATTTTTTTGATGTTGTTAAATGGTTAATGTTTAAGAAGAATTATAAACTACTCGTTGACATCAATATTTTTTGAAATTATTTTGAAAAACAGATTGAATTTTTATTAGTATATTTGAAAAACTTCACTCAAAATTTCAAAAATTAAAATTTTTAAAAAGATTTTTGGTTAATAATAATGGTTGAATCAAACAGAAAAACAATATTTATCTAAAACATGATAGTTAAAGGTTAACATTGATCAAATTTATAATATTAGCTCTTAATGTGTTACAATCCCAATAGTTTAAGGATAAAAAAAATATCATTGAAATGATTATTTATAGGATACACTTGAATATAACTTGTAAGGAAGTAAATTTACAAATATTAGGTATTTTTTTATATAAAAGAGGATTTATGGAGTACTTTCTTTAATATGAATGGAGTTTAGGTTAAACTTTCCAACTTCTAGCGTTTTTGTAATTTTTAAGAAAAAAAAGTGTAATATTTTGTGAATTTTCTTGTTATCAAAAAATTTTCGAGATATTTTATCTAGAAAATTATGTTTGATATATGAATATTTTATTTCATAATGGTTTTCTTTTAAAGCCTAGAGTCTTCCAAAATTATTGTTGTTATTGCTCTAAAATAATTTCCTAAACCATTTGGTTAGAATTAGAGATAGGGCAAAAACACATGCCATCGCAAGAAATTCGCTAAATAACGATGAAATTTAGCGATGGACAAACAAAGACAGAATAGTGACTATAAAATTTAGCGACGGAATAGAGATGGAATAACAAGCTGTCTTTTGGCGATAAACACATATCCATCGCTAAATTTGACAATAAAATCTTCTCAAAAGTTTTACGGACGGTTTAATGATGGATTTGCTAGGAAAAATAGTGACGGACTTGATACCTACTACTATTTTCATTCTAACGATATCCATTGCCAAATGCCAAATCCTTCGCAATTTAGCAACAGGAAAACCCATTTCTAAAGTGGAAGTTTTGGGCAAAATTGGGAAAATATTTTGAAAGATAAAAATCACCCAATTCACGATGAATTAGCTACGAAGCCGATAAATTGATATGAATTAGCGACGAAAACTTATGTCCGTCCCTAAATGTGAAAAAATGCGCGACTAGCTATTCAAAATTGGGCACCTATTTTGATATGGATTAGCGATGGGCGTAAGTTTTCATCGCTAAATAGCGACGGATTAGCGACGTGATCACGTCCGTTGCTAATTTTCAACCTTAATTTAACCCTCCTTTTCTTCCCCCTCTCCTTTTTCTTCTCCCTCTTCAAATCTAGTCGTTGTCGTCATTCTCCCACCTCCTCTAACCACCACCAAACTCTACTCCTTCACTCTTAATTGATTCCCACCCACTCCAAGGTCTTTTCCCCAAAAAAACCTTCATTTTTTCTTTCTCCTCTTGATGTAATTCCATCTGAATTAGATATGTTTTTCTTTCTTTTACTTTTTAATCAAAGTTAGCAATTTGTTGTAATTTTTAGGTTAATTTAAGTTTAATTGCTAGGTTTATGATTATGTATATATTTAATTATTATTTTGTTGATTTATTTGTTAAGTTATTAATTTTTGTTAATTGTTAGCTTAATTGGTTGATTAATTTGTTATTTTGTTAAATTTTAGGTTAATCAGTTAATTAATTATAAGTTAAATTTAATCAAAACATTTTTAATTAATTAAGTTAATTTTATTTAAATTTAGTTAATTAATTAGGTTAATTATATGTTTATTTGGTAGAATTAGACTATATTTGTTAATTGATTGTTTAATTTGTCTCAATTAAGACAATTTAATGGTTAATTTAAATTTAATTTGGTTAGAATTAGATTTAATTAAGTTAATTATATTTATATTTAATTAATTCATTAGGTTAATTATATTTAATTAGTTGAATCATAAGTTTGTTTATATTAGAACTTATTAATTACGTGTTAATTTGAATTTAATTTGGTTAGAATTAAAGTTAATTAAGTTAATTAGATTTATATTTAATTAATTAGATTATATTATTTTTTAATTGATTGAATTAAAAATTTATTTATATTACAAATTATTAATTAAGTTTTGTATAAAATTTAATTTGGTTCAACTTAAAATTAATTAAGTTAATTTAAATTTAATTTAATTAATTAATTAGGTTAATTTTGTTTAATAGGTTGAATTAAAACTTTATTTATATTACAAATTGTTAATTAATTGTTATATAAAATTTAATTTGGTTCAAATTAGAAGTAATTAAGTTAATTTGAATTTGAATTAATTAATTAATTAGGTTAATTGTTTTAATTTATTGTATTAAAAAATTATTTATATTACAAATTATTAATTAATTGTTATATAAAATTTAATTTGGTTAGATTAGAATTAACTAAATTAATTTGATTTTTATTTAATTAATTAATTTGGTTAATTTTATTTAATTTTTGAATTAAAACTTTATTTATATTAGAAATTGTTAAATTATGTTGGATTTAGAATAACTTAGTTTAATGATTTCGTACATAATTATTGAAGTTTGTTGAGATACGTCGTATCGTATCAAACCCGAGGGATCGGAGACCCTCGAGAATTAAGAAAAAATAAGATTGGTTCAATGATCTCGCGATAGAGCTAGGAGGGCGATTTTGAGCTTTAATTTCAATGGAGTAACCGAGATAATTATTGATCTCGATGTGGGTAAATTAATTATTGGTTGATTTAATTTGTTATTTGTGTGATCATTTAGAATATTTATTAATTAAAAAAGATGTAATTTATAGGAGAGATTATCGTCAAAATTTTATTTTATTAGATGTTTTAAAAAATTATTAATTAAATAATTTTATGGTGTCTCATAAATGCAAAAACAAAATAATAAGGTTCAATCACGAAAGAATATATGTTAGTTGTATAAATAGCTATTTAAATGATGTTTCGTGAATGGAGTTGAAAAATTTATCGCATTTGCTAGTACTCATCCTCGATGTATGGACGTAAGAAAGTTAAGGTGTTCTTGTAATTATCATCGATGTCGAAACCAAAATTTTAAAGAAGTTCTCATGCTTAAATGCCATTTAGTGAGATATGATTTTGTGCCCGGATATTATGATTGAATAACGCATGGGAAAGTTAACTCGAGGAGTTATGTTATGCATAAAATTTTAATGAAGGTAAAAAGAGTTATAGTCAACCCCTCAATCCATATAAAATAATGATGATGGATACAATCAATCCATCATTTAATCGATCTAGCATAGACAAGGTACCAAATCTCGATGTTTGATTTTTTTTATGATACGTTGAATGTAGCGAATAAGGAGATTTGGCCGAGTTATGACAATCACTTCCGGTTGTCCGTAGTTGCCCCGATTGTTTAACCTCGAGTAGGAACACCATTTTTCCTAAAGGTGTTCCAACGAGATATATAGGATGATCAAAGAGTTGATGCGGATTGATAACTATCGATAGAGAATTTTCACAACACCAAAAAGTTGGAAAAGGGGATGAATTTACTAATAGAAAAGATTTACTATTGTAACGAGCTCGCATGATTTATTAAGGTGAAAATAGTGAATTAACCACTTGCAAGTTTTTGGATATCCTCGATATTGAAGTCCAAAATGGAGATCGGTAAGAGCAAAATATGTTTCATTCAAAAAAAATATTACTTTTCATATACCTTGTGTTTACAAAGATTGTATGCATCGAATGCCATAACCGAGCACATAACGTGGTACACCGAACATGAGGTTGGGGATGAAAGAGTCATATATCATTGCTTTGAATCTATTACATGGTGTTGTTT